GCAGGCTGAGGCTGAGGCAGGCTGAGGCTGAGGAGGCAGGCTGAGGCTGAGGCAGGCTGAGGCTGAGGCTGAGGCAGGCTGAGGCTGAGGCTGACTGAGGCTGAGGCTGAGGCTGCAGGCTGAGGCTGAGGCTGAGGCTGAGGCAGGCTGAGGCTGAGGCCGAGGCTGAAGGCAGACTGAGGCTGAGGCTGAAGCAGGCTGAGGCTGAAGCTGAGGCAGGCTGAGGCTGAGGCTGAGGCTGAGGCAGGCTGCGGCTGAGGCAGGCTGAGGCTGAGGCTGAGGCTGATGCAGGCTGAGGCTGAGGCAGGCTGAGGCTGAGGCAGGCTGAGGCTGAGGGCTGAGGCTGAGGCGAGGCGAGGCTGAGGCTGAGGCAGGCTGAGGCTGAGGCAGGCTGAGGCTGAGGCAGGCTGACTGAGGCTGAGGCTGCAGGCTGAGGCTGAGGCTGAGGCTGAGGCTGAGGCTGAGGGCTGAGGCTGCAGGCTGAGGCTGAGGCTGATGCAGGCTGAGGGCTGGCTGAGGCAGCTGAGGCTGAGGCTGCTGAGGCTGCTGAGGCTGAGGCTGAGGCTGAGGCTGAGGCTGAGGCTGAGGCTGAGGCTGATGCTGAGGCTGCTGAGGCTGATGCAGGCTGAGGCTGAGAGGCTGACGCTGAGGAGGCTGAGGCCGAGGCAGGCTGAGGCTGAGGCTGCGGCAAGCCGAGGCAGGCTGAGGCTGGGGCTGAGGCTGAGGCAGGCTGAGGCTGAGGCTGTGGCTGAGGCTGAGGCAAGCTGCGGCTGAGGCAGGCTGAGGCTGAGGCTGATGCAGGCTGAGGCTGAGGCAGGCTGAGGCTGAGGTTGAGGCAGGCTGAGGCTGAGGCCGAGGCAGGCGAATCCTTCGGAATCCGTAGGATTCCCTAGGAATCCTTAGGAATCCATAGGAATCCCTAGGAATCAGGATTCCTAAGGAAACCCTAGGAATCAGGATTCCTAAGGTTTCCTAAGGATCCCCATGGATTCTTAAGGATGCCTAAGGATGCCTTAGGAATCCCTAGGAATCCTTAGGATTCCATTGGATCCTAAGGCCGTTGCCACTGCGACTGTCTTTGCGAATGCGACTGCGACTGCGAGAACAGCAGAATTCTACAACTGGATTCTCACCTGAATCTTAAGGGGAATGCTTCCAGATATGCTTATACACATCGCTGTTAGGTTGCCTTGCCGTTTTTTATTTTTATTTTTCCGCCAACATCCGCCTGTAGGGGGACACGCCCGCCCTAGCTCTGCGCTCTGTGCCCTGGCTCGCTGCTCGATGCCTTGACAATCGCAAGGGGGGCGCACGGCACACGCCGGCCCTCGGCGGAGTTCGGGGGCCGGGGGCGCTCGGTGCCCGGGCAGCCGCGCCGCCAGTTGCAGCGTCGTCGGTCTGGAGTTAAGGCGGGCATGTCCCTGTACAGGAGGAGTAGTTATTCGGAGCATAACCGATGCTGGTCATCCGATTGGCATGTGGCCACTGTGCATAGGCACGCGTGTTCGGTTGACGGTGAAGATGCCGGCGGAGGATAAGATCGTGCAGGACGCCACCGGGACATTCCGGGGCGTGAAGTTCCACCTCAACGAGTTCCCAACGCAGGATGCTAGATCGGATTGGCGCCGAAGTAACGATCACGAAGCCCGCAGGCGCGGATATTATGGATGTAACTCGTTGCCACGTTGTGTCCTCGCCAAGTATGACGGCTTGGACATCGATTCTGGGGATTTGTTGGAGTATGTCTGACGGTTTGGTTATTTTGAACATGTTGCATTATTCCGTCAAGAATCCGCCTGTAGGAGAACATGCCCGACCCAAGCTTGGACTCCCGCCCAAAAGGAACCGATCACCCGGCATCTTGGGAGGCGATCTCCGCCTAATGCCTTCGGGGCTCCCTGTGGCCCGAGTGGATCTGTATCCGTCTACCCGCTGGGGTAATTGCTGCGAGATCGGGCCCCCAGGCCCCAGGCGGTAGACCGGCTCAGGGCACCCCACGCTTCGGCGCGACGTGCGATTAGGATCCCTGAGGAATTTCTGGAGATCTGCGCGAGATCCCTGGGATTCTGAAGGAATTTCTAGGGACCTGGGCGAGATCCCTGGGATTCTTAAGGAATTTCTAGGGATCCTTCTAAGGGTCTGGGCGAGATCCCTGGGATCCCTGAGGAATTTCGGGGGATCTGAGCGAGATCCCTAGGATCCCTGAGGAATTTCTAGGGATCTGCGCGAGATCTTCCGGATTCCTGAAGAATCTGTAGAGGAATCTCTGAGCGAGCTCCCTGGCCACGCCCCAGATCCCAGGCGTCAGTGCCCCGAGCCTGCCCCGGCCCTCCCGCCCCGCGCAGCGGAGCGACGCGCGATCCGCTCTCCGGCAGACGTGTGCAGGCTCGGGCCTCGCAGTTCTTATGGTCGGGAGCCCTGGCCCAGCGCGTCGCGCCGCCTGCTCTGGCCCACCACGCCTTCGCCGCGACGGGCTGACCACTTCCCAAGTGCCGAGCGCCCACGTCCCGAGCCTTGTCCGAGCTCCCCGCCCAGAGGAGCGGAGCGACACGCTGTCCGCTCGGTGGCGCGTCGCTGGGGCCGCCGCCGCGACACGCTGGGCGAAAGTTACGTTTCTGACTGTCGTATTCTTGTCCTGGACTCCTTAGGTCTTGGATAGGAAACGTTCGGAGCCCGAGCCGCTCGTCGTCGGGCCGGCGGCCGCGGCGACAGGCGGCGACCACGGCGCACTGGTCCAGCTCGAGGAGTCGCTGGCAAAGAGCATCATGATGCTGCCGCTCGCCACCAGGCCAACCGCCTGCGCAGTCTGGCAGCGTGCTAGAAGCTGGAGGGATAAGACGCGACACCACAACCTCAGAGGATGAAACGGTATTGAAATCGACCCTTGCCTCGTCTTCATCGTTTTGGACCGCTTGGGACGCCCTCGTCCCCATGGCTGGATTCGCATCGAAATTCTTATCAGAACGCACCCCAGGAGAAGTCTGGGGAGTAGCGGTATCGGCATCTTTCGGTTTTACCTCAACCTCCAGCGTGCAATGGTCCCGCTAGATCCACCGCCCTGCTTGTGCATATGATGCTGTTTTCTTTCTCTGTGATGGATGCCAGCCTCTCTGTCCTGATTTGATGCTCATCGATGTCGGCGGGCCAGTGGGAGTGCGATGCCGATCGCTCGAAGGTGATACACAGGGCTGTTTATCGGTTGGCCAGCTCGCTGCCCTGCGTCCCATGATAGCACACCAGAAGTCCTGCGCCGCTGTGGCGCAGGCAAGGCTTGAGCCAGAATCGTTGAGAATGGGACCGTTCTGTTCATGTAAGATTCCTGCATCGTGATACGGACATCCGTGTCTTAACACGGACGGGGCCTGCTAAGCAAGGCGTAGCTGAATTTCTTCCATCGGCGGCGAGGCAGAGGCAGTCCGCTCCAGCGTGTGGCTAATCGGAGCAGCCGAATTGCGAATTGTCCGGTGTGCAAGAGGAAGGAAACATACGAGGGCGGCCGCGCGGGGGGAGGAGGGGGGAGCGTTCAGACGAGGAAGAGTACCGCGTAAGGCGTAGCTGAAACACGAAGTAACAGGGAGCCCGGAACGCCGAGGAGCGCAGATGATTCTTGCAGACGGGGCTCCTCCAGAGCTCGGGGCCCTGTGAGGCCCTGCGCGGCTCTGGAGGGGACGGCTCCAGGCTGCGAGTGGCACGGCGGGCCACCTCCAGCGAGGAGGTCCACGATGCTTTCCCGAGCTGGAGGTCGGAGCTGCCTCGAGCGATGGGGCCGGAAAAAGGGGGGTCCACACCACCAGGAGGGCCCTGCCTGGCTTGTGGTGCTGGTGGTGGTGGTTAGTGGAATGGTCACTACCCACCAAACCACCCCAACCCAACCCGAAGGCCTCAAGTAGCCCTCCGTTTCCAGTGGGGGGGTGGCGGGGAACATTGAAAAAACACATGGAACCCATACCCCCACCCAGCCCGAAATGAGGGTCAAATTCGGGTCTTCGTGTTGGGTTGGGGTTGTCTGGTAGGCACTCAAATGGGGGGGGACGTCCCCTGTTACACGTCATTAAACCAGGTCTCACGAAACCAAGTGCTTCCAACGCCCGACAAGACACGGCATGCACACAATTTCTCGGAGGTCCGCGCGGATTTCTTCACGGGACCCGCGGGCGACGGGCAGGCTGCCGGGCCATCTTCTGGACGAGTAGGAAGCGACGTTGCCAGCACCTTCCAGTAATCATTTGGCGTCGCCAAAGCACACGTCGGTCTGTCAGCATCGCGGCCATGATGACCCATTCACTTTGGCTCCCCATTCGAACTTGCTTATGACAGAGAAGAGATACAGGCGCCGCGGAAACAGCAGCGGGAACACAATGATTTCGTCATGTGGACGCGACGGCAACGACAACAGTGCCGAGTATGCAAATTAGACTGCCGAAGCCCACGTTGACTGAGCAGAAGGTATAGTAGAACGGGTGGTCTTCGTAGAAGACCGCGCCATCCGGGGGCCGCAACACCACCTCCGCCACCGCTCTACCTAGTCGCCCTCGCCCTCCTCACCCTCCTCTGTCTCCCCCTAGCTTGTCGCCCGTCCCTTGCGCCTCAACCTGTTTCCCTGTCGCCCTCGCCCTCCTCACCCTCCTCTGCCTCGCCCTAGCGTGTCGCCCGTCCCTTGCACCTCAACCTGCCTCCTCGTCGCCCTTGCCCCCCTCGCCAAGAAGGGGTCTGGAGGCTGGGTCTGAACGTATTTGTGGCGACGCTTCTTGGGGTCACCCGTGGGCGGAGGAGGGGCAGGGGGAGGGAGGAGGGGGTGGTGGTCTGAGGGATCGACAAGCGGCAAGGGGAACAGAGGGGGGGGGGGTGAAAGGGGGATGGGGCGACAGGGAGGGGGAGACGGGGAGCGGGGAAAGGAGGGGGGGAAGGGGGGCGAAAGGGAGGGGGAGACTCGCCCGACGCGGCCTCCTCGCCCGCTCGGCGGCCGCGGCGTCCAGAGCCGTGGCGACCCGGGCGTGCAGGCTGCCGCTGCTGGCCAGGTGGAGCCCCGCGGCCATCGCGGCGGAAGGCCCGCCGGCCCTCGCCGCGCCCGAGCCCCGGAGGGGCGGCAACGAGAGGGGATGGGGCCAGGAGGAGGAGGAGGAGGAGGAGGAGGAGGAGGAGGAGAGAGGAGGAGGGAGGAGGAGGAGGAGGAGGAGGGAGGAGGAGGAGGAGGGAGGAGGAGGAGGAGGAGGAGGACGAAGGGGAAGAAGAGGTCCGTGGCCACTTTTGGCTCGAGCCGTTCTGGCTCAAGCCAGTTAGGCTCAGGGCTCGCTCGAGCGATTGAGGCGTGCTGTTCTGAACCCCCTGAGACTTACCGGCCTGGAGTTCGGGACTCCACCCGCTGACGAATCTCGATCCCCAGTCAGGCGCCATGTTCCAGCATGGCTCTAAGAAGCATGGATACCAGATCACCGGAGTTACGTGCACCCTCTGTGGTTGCAAAAAGAATCCTCCTTGATATGCTACTTGCTACCACTGTCATGCCGATCTTCGCTTGTTCGGGATTGAAAACTCCGTCCCACAAGACATCCCCCCACCACCCTCCGAGGGCTGGGGCAAGGGGGGAGTCTCAGGGTTCGGTAAGACCTCTAAGGGCGGGCCGAAAGGAACCCTTTCAGGAGGCAAAGGAGGTCAAGGAAGAAGAGGAGGACGTAAAGGCCCAGGTGATCTTGCAGGCGGCCTCCCTTCAGTGCCAGGTTTCGGCAAGGGCGGCAAATCCAACAACTACTACCACTACCAGACCTACGGCTACGGCAAGAAGCACGGCATGGGCTGGGGAGGGTGGGCAGGTCAGCAGTATTTCGAAGATCGTAACACCCGCAAGCACCACCATACCTGTGCCAGTCTGTTCCACGAGCTACTCCAGAAGGCCAAATCCAAGTACAGCGACGTGGACCCGGAGCTGGTCCCTCAGATGGAGGCCCTCTACGGGGCCCTCAAAGGATCCGAAGATGCACAGATACCTCTCTCCTAAGTCTTCCAAAAGCAGGAAAAGAAGCTTAGGAATAGGGGAACTCAATTGGAGGGCGTCTGGGAGCAGATCCATTACTGTGACGAAGCTATTGCAGGCATTCAGAGGCAAAAGGAGCACCTCGAAGGAAATGCCCAGGAACTTGAGCAGGAAATCGCAGACCTACAGGAGGGGGCATCAGGAACACCACTGGCCAGGAGTGGAGCCCAGGCTCCTGATTCGACTGCTCAGAGGTCGCGAAAGATGAATTATACCAAAGGTGGCACGAAGACATGGCCCAGGCAGAACCTCCAAAGCAACCCAATGCGGGTTTCGCTATGCCTGTGGATGAAGACGGGGCGGAACCCAAAGGAGAGTGGTACGACAGGGACCTGGAAGATTTCACCCCAGTCAAGAACAAAACCAAGGCAGGCAAAGACAAGGGAGGACGAGGAAAAGGCAAATCGGCGTCCCAACCGAATGCCAAGCGCCCTTCGGAGTTGGACCTGGGGAGCCTCATCGCCAAACTCCAGGAAAGTCCTTCGTTTCGGAGCGTCATGGGGGACCAGGAGGAGCAGGTTTGGGAGGCTTTCCAGGACGTCCGGGGGTATGGGAAGATGCTCAAAAGGACATGGAGCTGCAGGCTACGAAAAGGAAGGGACTCGAAAGGGGCCGCCAGACGCAACCAAAGCAGCGGTCACAGCAGCAGCAGCGGCAGATTCAGCAGCCAACGGAAGCAGCGCAGCAGGAGCAGCAGCCAACGCAGGTGCAGCACTTGCAGGATCAGAGGCTTCTGTTCCCGGAGCTGCAAAGTAATAAGACAATGCGAGGCTTCACCATTGCCACGGCCAACGTCAACAGCTGGGGGGCGGGGGCCGACATCATCGATGCAGCGAAAGCAGATGTTATCCTGGTGCAGGAGCACAGGCTGCAAACCAAGAAATACTTAGCTGCAGTCAGTGCATGGTGCGCCTGGCCTCAAGGAGCCCAAAGGGGGCGCATCAAGTGGAGTCTTCATATTTGTCAAGGGCCACCTTGACTCGTTTACGGGAGTTTGCAAAGAAGTTCTTGTTCCAGGGCGGCTATGCAGATGTTTTCTCAGGTTACGGGGGCATGGGGGCATTGCAATTTTCAGCGTGTACTTGCACACAGGCAAAGGGCTGAACCCTGCCAACTTGAGCATTATCCGCGCCACGGGGGAGGACATGTTGAACCATGGGTACCAGAGCATAGCAGGAGGAGGTTGGAACATAAAAGCAGACATTTTCACAGAGCATGTCGAGCTTGATGTGTTGAACTCGGTTGTAAAATGCCCGTTAGAGCCCGCGTGTTGCATTCCAACCAGAAAATCGCATGTCGTTTACTTTGCTAACGCATCCCTTATGGCGAACGCCATGGATTCAGTTTGCATTCAAGACGACATAGAGCTGTCCCCCCACAGAGTAGTCCAATTAAGGTTCAAAAGGGGCTTGGAGACCATCCTGGTGGAAGCACCCGGTCTCTATCGGAAGATTCGCAGCTCCCCGGCCATCGGGCCCAGACAACGGCCACCAGACTACGGGGGCCTGATTCAGGACTTGACGGCTTGCCTGCAAGATAGGAAAGATAGCTAAGGAGCAGTCTGGAGTGCCGCAGGGGGCAGCGAAGACCATGTTAAGGGAATCGCGCTTTCTGACAACATTTATGGTAGGTGGCTCCCGCTTGTCCGGCAAGAGCTCTACTTGGCTACCCAGACGAGCCCGAGAGTCCCAGGCAAGGAGATTGGCACGGCGATGGCTACGTCTTTCATGCCACTCGCGCAGCTCCTCAAATGCAAGTACTACCCCCAGAAGTTCCAGAAAGGGCCATGTTGTGGGTAGTGCATAGGTTCCGGGAGCTTGCATCGCGCTACGATGGGGGCAAGGGCTATAGCAAGCCAGCGGGTCAGTTGCGCCAGCAGCGGCATCGTTTTAGGAGTATGTCCAAAAGGGGTGGGCCATTCAGGGCCCGCTGGAAGGCAGGAGGCGACCTCTTCCATGACTACGTTGCTGACGTAGCCCAGACGCTCATCACCAGTTGTTTCATGGATGGGAGGTTGCCTGTTACGCATGCATTGCAAGCGTTGAAGCATGTCTGCATGGGTTACAAGGTAAGGAGAATAATGATGAAAGGGGGCGTGGCACGCATGGGTAGACAAGGCATGCGAAGGGCCATGCTCGGACATCTACCGACATCTTAAAGGAAAAAACTGCTGGGAGGCGGAAGAGGTATGGTCTGAAGAAGGCTTCTCCACCTCGCTGCCTACCTGCAGCACCAACTGTCAGCCTGGGGGGACAAGTGGGCAGCGACAGATGACCCCGACCCTGTCCCGGACGACGCGGCGAGCTATCCACCATTCCCTGTCCCAGAGCTCAGCGACGCCAGCGACCTTCAGCGCGTCGCCAAGAAATTCAAGGGTTTCACGTGCCGGCTCGATGGCTTCCACCCCAGACACTTCAGCATGACCAGTGAAGAGCGCATGGGGGCAGCAGCGCTCATAACCGCATGCCGATGATAATAAAGGGACCCCCCCCCCCCTCAGTGTTTAGAGTTGATTATCGTCGCCCTATACAAAATTCAAATTGGGCGGCGAGCGCCGAGGCCGAACTTCATTATCACCTCGAAACGCTATGTTGAGATAGCAACATCAAACGATGTTGCTATCCCCGCGCGCGCCTGAACTTTTCTATCTCTGGGGTTGATTATCCATGGAAAGGGGGGCACATGAGCTACCCTACATGAGCACTTAAAAAAATCATTTTTAATGAAGCGCTTGTGAATTAAAATTGATAGATATGGAACTTTCCATTTTTTCCGTTCTTCTTCTCATATTCTTCTTATCTTCTTCTTCTCTTCTTATGATTCTTCTATTTTGCTCTTCTTCTTTTATATTACTATATGTCCTCACGCTCGCCTGAACTGTTTTATCCCTGGGCTTGATTATCCATGGAAAATGAAGCACATGAGCTACCCTACACGAGCACTTTACAACATCAATGTTCATAAAGCGCTTGTAAATTAAAATTGATAGATTTGGAACTTTCCATTTTTCCGTTCTTCGTCCTCTTCTTATTATCCTCTTCTTCTTCTTTCTTATTTTTCTTCTACTGTATTCTTCTTCTTTTAATTTTTCTCTCTGTCCCCGCGCTCACCTGAACTTTTTTATCTCTGGGGTTGATTATCCATGGAAATTGAGGCGCATGAGCTACCCTACACGAGCACTTGCAAAAAACAATTTTCATAAAGCGCTTGTAAATAAAATCTAATAGATTTGAAACTCGAGATTTTTTCTTCTCTTCGTCCTTCTCCTCCTCCTATCGTTTCTTTTTATGTTATTCTTCATTCTTTTTTTATTTTTCTTTCTTATATATAGCTTCCTCCATTCCAGCGAGATAAGCCATTGTGGAGGATACTTCTGTGAAAACTAAACGCCAAGGATGTCTCAAAACGTGCTCGGCTTGGTCTCCTCTTGATCATCTCTCACTTCGAGATTATGCTGAGGTCTGCTGGGCTACTTTTATTATCTCTCCCTGAACCCCGAACTTTATTATCCCCTAGTGTTTATTCTCACGGGCATGAGGTTAGTTCAGCTCATGGAAGTCACTTGTTCGACGCCGCGGGTCACGCAAAGCGTGGACATGCCATTGGCACGGATGCGCAAAGGCCCTGGGAGACGGTGCACTGCCTTCTTCCCAGGGCTATTGAGTGTGAAAAGGGGAAGTTGTGGGCAGAGAGTGCAAGCAGTGGGAGGCAGAGTACGGCATGGGGCCCCAGTTCTCAGCGACGCAGAAAAGGTTTCCCGAGGACACCGCATGGCGACAGGCCATGCGAAGCGCGAGTTAGTGGCTGGAAAAAAGGCGACCATTGTCTCAAGTTGTTGTGGGATTTGGAGTCGTATTATGAGACTATTGATCGCAGTCTCATGGGCAAGCAGTTGGATTACACGAAGTACCCAGCCCACATATTGACGCTGAACATACACATACAGGCGGCCGCGCAGGTTGCTGCAATATGGAAGCGAGTCCAAAGCCAAGTACCCGCAGAGAGGGATTACGGCA